CAAAAAGGATTGGAGAGGCTTTCTGCCAGGCCAAGCCTACCATAACACCATGAAAGCACCATGTCTCTCACAGATCCTGCCATTGCAAACACTAAAAAGGTGACAGCAACGTGCCAGCTAATGTTCTGAATTAACTTCTTGACTCCTGGTTTCTGTCCTGCAAGAACAAAAAGACAGGGCAGGATCCTGGGCACATCCCCAAGTGTGTCCCTACAGGGTTCAAGCTCCCCAGCAGCAACTTCACCAGGAAAACCTCCCGAAACCCCAAAGTGAGCAACCAAATACAACCAATCATGCCCACCATAGGGGCTACCCAGAGTGTCAGCAGATCTAGCCCAATCCAGCCCACACCATCTTCTTAGCAGACTAGAGAATCTGTCCTATGTGTCAGCTGCAGTCCAGCTATTTAAGGGATTAGCTGAGAATGAGCAGGCTGTTAATGATTAGCATTCCCTAACATCATGTTCTTGGTTTGGCAGGAGTGCCCAGTTGAGGAGAGAGCCTGGGGAGCTGTGGCTGGGTGCCATGCCACGCGGGCACCTTCTGCCTGTTCTCAGGAGAACAGCCATTCCCAGTTACACTGCGGTGCCCTTCCCACTTTTCCCATGACATTTTCAGCTTCTTGGCCCAAAACACCTTAGGCCTGTCCCCTCCCATACTGTAGTGTTATCTGCTATCAAGGGGACAGATGCAGCAAATGTGGTTTGGGTTGTGTTTTTTTTTTTTATCCAATAATCTCATTTTCAATTAAAATATATAATAGATATATTTAAAAAGGTTTAGAAAAGCCTCTATGTAATTTGCAGCTACTTTTACATATAGATTACAATAATGTACAACTCTTCCCTAAGGTCGTTTGAAACCATGGGGACTTGCCCATTCTTTCCCCCCCAATCATATACATGATCAAACATCAAATGTGTTTGTTCCTACTACGGCTCTGAAGAAGTCTGTGACTGGTACCTTCTCAGAGGGAGAGATGTCTAATACACCCTAAAGGGGACACACTTAACATTGGCTTCATATTCACTGTAGAAAGTTCCCGGATTAGTAAAAAAATATCCCATCTATAGAAAATGCCCTTCTGAAAAGCAACCAGGGCTCTGTTAAGGCCACACCCAGGTTTTCCATTTCTCTGCTGTAGCAAGACAGATCAGTAACAAACCCAAATTGATGTTTTTTATGTCCCAGAAACAGCTATTAGCACCTGGGCTTATTATACAGCAGCCTGGTGTATCAGGAAAGTGCTGAGAACAGCATAGGGACTTCTTGAAACATGCTTTTGATTCAGCGGGGCTCAGTTGGCACAGTGAAAAACTCAACGTCCTCCTGCTCCACTCAGGCAGACAAGAGGAAGCCTTCTACACCACGACCACCTCCCTTCCCTGCAGAACCATGATGGGTGCTCTGGAGATGGGCACACTGAAACCAATCCCTGAAACAGCACTCCCTTTTCCCACAGGGCTTCCGCCAAAAAGCTCCTTCCAGTTCCTCTCTGAGTCTGGGGGATACCAAGAGCACATCTGGTGGCTTAATGAAAATGTCCAACTACTTTGCCCCAGAGGGCAAGCCAACTGAGAGCAGAGCCAGCCCTCTGGCAGTCTGAGGCACTGGGAGACTTTCTGCTATAGCAGAGAGAGGACAGCCAGGGAGACATTCCTCCAATAAACCCAACTCTTCACGTGGGAAAACACTGTTGTCTTCTGGCTGAGTTTTTCACCAGGGCTCCTCTTTGGACATGGACAGCTCAGGGTTTCTCCAGATGATCCAAGGCAGGGTCAGGTTTGTAGGAAGAGCCATGGCACATAACAGGATTATTATTTTCAAACTCTTCCTGTTGCAGCCAGGTACTATTTTTAAACTCTTCCTGATGCAGCCAGATGCAGGTTGCCTCTTCTTCCCAGCTGGGCAGCACATTCTGCCCAAGGCATGGTGTGCAGGGAATCCGAATCCAACATGCTCCATTCTTTTCTCTGCCAGGGGTGGGAAGTGAAGTCAGAACCCAATGTTCAAAACCTGAAGGACACTACAAAGAAGAAAAAGAGAGTGAATGGTTAGATCTCAGCTTCAGC